TTATATCAATTACCTTGGAAATAAGTTCCCGGGCAGATTCAATCAAAATCTGCAACCCCAAGGTAGCCATCACTGATGCAAAGACAATGATACCCTGCACAGGAAATCATATCAGCATGTAGTTGCATCAACAAACCATGCAAGGACTATTTTCAAAGTATCTTATATAACCAATTATTGCTATTCTCACTATTTTCATATCATGATACTATACATAAAAGGTTGCAGTTAATGAAAAACAGTTTAAATAAGATGTTACCACTGGTTGCATGCGTTTCTTTCCAATTGGATAGTGATATTGGTTTGGGTTTTTCATGGCATGAGCAGTAAACCACAGTATGAACCCTGACAAGAGATCCAAGAGAGAATCCATGGTTGAGGCAATGACTGCTAATGATCTGCTAGCAATTGAGGCGTAAACCTTTGCTGCAAACAGCACCAAGTTACACATATTTGATACATGAACTGCCATCCTCTCACTCTTCGCTAGTTGCTTCATTTCATCCTGACAAACATTTGGAATGCACATTTAGTAGAGTTCTCTTCCAATATTTTACCAAATCTATCAGCAAGTGTTTGCGATGATCAAGTTTAATGGAAAGTCATAAACTCACTGAGATTATTGTCAAAAATGGTTAGTTCTGTTCTATGTATAAATCATAATGAGTGATCAATAGTAGTGATGGAACAATCAAACCTGAGAGAGAGCTCCAGGGAAACCACCCGTTTCAGTCATAGTCTCCATCTCAGTAAATCCTTCAAGGAGTCTCTCCTGCTTCTTGTAATATTCTGCCACTCTGCGTGTCTTCCCTGAAACACACAAATTAACAGAGAGATTAGGGAGTATGTTCGCAAATCCATAAACTAGAGAATATGGATTTAACTGAAAGATGTTGATGATGAATTCTCTCTGAACTTAATTTAAGTAATAATCAATAATGTCACAACATTTTCAAATCACCATTTACTAAGCCCTTTTTAATTAAAGATTTAAAAATTTAAACATTATGTAAACATTTCAACTTTTGTCAATTATTTTACTCAACTCTTATTTAATATTTGGAGAAAAGATAATACAGAGGGTATAAAAGAATGATCTGAAATCCAAACAGAAAGCAGTTTCATGTCATTTGAGAAGACATTAAGGAGAGGAAGATTCATGATTGCTTATGGTTTGGAAACTTTCGATTAGGTGTGGAATAATCAAGTACAAGAGATTCTAACATGAAAGAAATTATAAAAGATATGATGAATGGAGTATCTATATCTAATTTATATCTAATAATAGTAATTTTTATCAATATAATCAAGTAAATATATTCTAATCAGAAAGTAATTATACTTTATATGATAAATGGAGTATCTATCTCTAATAATAGTAATAATTATCAATAAAAAATACATGAGTACTCTTGACTTATTATAAAAAAAATGGAATTTCACCAAAGTAATCAAACACAAGCACAGCCAAAGATATCAAACACAAGCACTACCAAAGATGCACATTCACAGTGAAAAAACCGTGTCTTTATCGAAAGATTCCCACCATGGCCTAAAATAAATAACCAACAAAAAATAATTACAAAAATCACTTCTCAAACTACCTCGATTTTCACAATTCAAAAACATCATAGAAAACAAAACACACTCAGCAAAAAAACAGCCTCAATTTGCAGAATTCAATAAATGCATGATAACAGTAGAGAGAAAAACAAAATCCAACACGCAAGATAGTGAGTGTACAAAAACAGAGTCATCACAGTCCAACACGACACCATCATTAGCAAACCACACGAAGAAAGAATGGTCTCACTTGGTTTACAAAGAAGACTCTGAAAAGTGAAGCATGGTTTGTGTTGATGATCATCTATTTGGCTTGGCAAACGAAACTCTTTTAAGTTAAGTCTCCACGAAGCTTTTGCAACCTCTTCCTCCGACGCCTCCAGAAGCGGTTCCCTTGGGCGGGGTCCGCCACCACTCTCCTCCATATTCCTTTATCTGAGAGTCTGTTTTGGTTTGGGTTAATGCAATGTGAGTGATAACCGTTTTACACAGAGATAGGAAAGGAAGAAAAGAACGGTGCTATATAAATATAATGATGAAAAGCTTACAGACCTAAGAGCACACCTGGCAACACTTAGACCTACGTCGTTTTCCTTGATTTGATCTCAGAGTAACAAGAAGTACTAAAATTAGGAAAACTGAAAATGTGTATTAGATAAATACTATGCACCATTCTGAATTGTTCTCATTAAGAGTCAGTTTTTGCTAAAAGATTACTTAGAAGTTCTGTTATTATTCCATAAGACTTATTTTCTTAAGGAATCAAACATCACCTTCTCATGGATTACTTGAAAAAAAAAAATATAT